CGGGGGCAGAGGAGGAACGGAGGAGGAGGAGGGGGTGTAGGGGAGGGGTAAAATCGGGATTTTTGAAGATGTTGCATTGGAACTTGAGGAGAGGGGCATAGACATAATTTTTTTCAAAAAAATGGGCTACAGCACATTGTTGAAAGTTGGGGGGCTGGGGCATATTTGATTTTTCTCCTACAAATAATTTTTATCAAAACATTGTAGCAATAGTTTTTTGTTTCATGTTTACATCTTTTTCATGCTTCATAATACATATATAAAGTATTCATGAAATGTAAACACAATTTCATAAGTCATAGTTCAATTTTTGTTTTCATGAAAAACAGGTTTTATGAACACTTTTCAAAAACAATGATTTTTCATAAACGAAAATTGTATTTCCAAAATGTCTTTTTGAAACATGTTCACTTACATGTTTTTAAGCTTTCCCCAAAGTTTTGTTATTTTTGGATATCATTTGCTATTTTAACATATTTTCAAAAGTCAGCAAAACAGGTTCAAAACCTGAATAATATCTGTGTCAGTTTGCGGTCGACCGTGGCGGTCGACCGCCTGTAGTCCAGAGACCAAGATTGGCCTCTGAAAGACTTGCGGTCGACCGTGGTAGTCGACCGTAGCAAGTCCAGAGAGCATCAGCTCTCTCGCGGTCGACCGCCACGGCCGACCACCTACTTTCATGTTCTGTGTGCTTGTTTTCACTGTTTCACAATCGATCGCCAATGTTTCACAGTTGACCGCCGCGTTGAGTTATAACGACTAGTTTTTGACCTGATATTCTGAGGGTATTTTGGTCTTTTCAATGGGGTTTTGGCTGATGTCTTGAGTGGGTATAAATACCCCAATTGCCTCTATCATTCTAAGAACCAAGAATTTTGTTTAAATTGAGTTTTATAAAGAGTTTAACAAGTGTTTAAGCTTGTTTGTGGTTTGTTTCAAAAGAGGAGTTTTTACAACAAGAAGAGGCAATCAATTCCAATTGAGGATATCATCCTTATCATCATTCTACAGTCCTTCTTGTTTATTAAGAAGTTTTCTAAACTTATTTTTTTATATAGCTTATTGATTCATTATTCACATTCATATCTTAGCTATATTAATTGAGTTGAAAATTTATTATTCTCTTTTATCACACATACCTTTGTTGAGCTTATAATATCTTCATACAATATATTGGGTAGTGGTGTGTGATCGGGCGAGAGTGAGCTTAATTGTGTTCTCATCAATTGTAGAGAACGAACTATTGCATTTGTGAGCTTTATTGTGAGATTCACTTTGTATACATATTTACACCGAGATGAGTGTGTGGTGAGGATGTAGTCGATACCAAGAGGAGTGGTGTCGGTTGTAAAGCCTAGTGAGAGGTAGTAATCCCGAGCACTTGAGAGAGGCGATACGTGAGGACCGATACTTGAGGTTGTAGTTTGTGTATGTATATTGTGAGTTTTTGCAGAGTTGTCGGTTAATAAGAAAACCGAATGTGTAGAGAAGTTCCGACTTCCAAATCGGGTGTGCCGATAGTGGAGATCTTCTCAAGGTGGGGAGCGGAGACATAGGTCAAGTGGTTGACCAAACTCCATGAACATATCGTGTGTTTGAGTTTGCTTAGCGTATATTTAATTTGTAATTATTTTTTACATTCTTGTTCATATATATCTCATATATCTCTTGCAAGAATAAATTAATCAATATAATTTAATTGGCATAAAATCAGAATTAGATTAGCATAAGACCCTAATCACCCCCAGGGTCTAACAATTGGTATCAGAGCTTGGTGCTCTTTGATTTGAGGTTTAATCGCCTTGAGGTAAAGATCCAAGTTTTTTTTTTTTTGCTAATCTAGATTTGATCTTATTAGTCTCTTGCTTACACATGTCATGGACATGCACGGTGCACCTAGTCTTGGTTATGCAATTAACATTGCTCCTGGAATCGGAAGTTTCCCCTATGCACAATGGTGTGTTAGATTTAAGCTATTTGCTAAATCTAATAATATTGATATTTGGGAAATTATCGATTGTGCCTATGTTGTACCCACTATGGAGAAATCCAAGTGGAGTAGTAATGATAATAGATTATTTGCCATGAACAAGTCTTTGTTAAATTTTTTAGTTAATGCCTTTAGCTTATCATTTGCTAACAAACTTGATTCCTTTGATAGTGCTTATACGCTATGGAAACTATTGGAAGCACATCAAGAGGACTTGGAGACTATCCGACAAGAGTTAGAAAATTCTGCTTCAAGTTCTAAAGGAGCTTCATCTTCATGTTTGCAACCACTAGGAGATAATCCTAGTGAGGTACGCGAGCTCGACACCGATCATGATTTTACTTTTGATAAGCTTGCACATGAATTTAAAAATTTATTGCATGACCATAAAAAATTAAAACGTAACTATATTGAATTGAAAAGCAAGCATGTTGAAATAAAATCTTCTCATGAAACATTAGCTACTAAGTTTGATCTCATTGCAAATGAAAGTATGAATCTCAAAGAATGCAATAAAATTTAAGATTAGAAAAAGCTAGTCTGCTTCATGAAAAATGTGATATCATGTTAGAAGTAGAGATTAGTAAAAATAAATTAAACTCTATAATAAATGATCATGTTTATTCTACTTCTTGTAGCAATGCCTGTATGCACAATGATGAGTTGAATCAAATAAAAGAACACATATCCACCTTAGATTCAACACTAAACACTTGTATTGCAAATAACAAAAAGCTTATGGACTTGTGTGCAAAGTCTCATATTAATTCACTCAAGAATCCTACACACTATGCACATATGTATAACAAAATTTACAAATATGCTATTTGCGGTCGTAAAGGCCACTTAGCTAAAAAATTTTATAATGCACAAAAGCTTAACAAGCCTATTCACGATTATGCATCCCATCAAGCTTCTTCATCTCATACACATGTACACACACACATAGTGATAATCATAAACATGCTCATGTATATAAGTGTGAATTTTGTGGTCGTTTTGGTCATTTGATCAAGTTTTGTTTCGATTTGAAAAGAAATTCTCGTTCGTAAAAAAAATTATAAAGGAAAACCTATTTTTGCAAATGAGCCACGTGCACAACATTTTGGTCAACGCAAACCATTCAAACCCCTACATTGCACAAATTGCAATCGTATAGGTTATGTTTACGATTTTTTTTTTGACCGTATTCATGCACAAAATACGCCCAAATGGGTTCATAACCCTAGGGCCTTGAACTTACATGATGGGGATCATATCCCAAATTTTATTAGTACCAAAAATACTTGGGTACCAAAATATACTTAATCTCAATTTTTTGAATAATATATGTTTGGTTTTGAATTTCAATTTTGATAATTTTTAAAGAATGTTTTAAAATAAAATATTTTTATGGATTACAAACTAAAAATGTTCTATACATATTCTTATAAAATAAAGTTGTATAAGGATCTAAATGAAAACTTTCATGAATTTCAGCTTTTATCAAATCATTAATACAGATTTTCTCACGGTCGACCGTCACGGTCGACCGAATGTGATGTTTTCTCGGAGATTTGGCTCTGTAACTATCGCGGTTGACCGCGCCTATTATGGCAGTCGAACGCACAGGAAAAATCACCTTTTTCTTTTAGTTTTCTTATCGGGTTTTGGGTTTTATTTTGTTAATTGTTTTAACCCGAATTTTTGGCATCGTTGAT